AGTGATCTGTTTTTTCAGATCGCTAATGGGATCGCATTGCGATGTTTTCAATGGCAAAACATCGCATTGTGATGATTGGTAAGCGTTTTGCTTACCGATCTTCGCATTGCGATGTTTTTTTAACAGCTGATTGGCAGTTCCAAAATGGCCACCGGACGCCCAAAATGGCCACCGCAACCATTTTCGCACCCTGCCCTTGCTAACCGAGGGTGCTAAAATGGTGGCGCTATGGAGGAACTTCGCTGAACGGTGAGTTTGGGGCCCCATAGGAACGCATTAAATGAAGTTTATTGCGTTCCTACGGGGTTTTTTGACCCGTTTAGCAATGTTTTTGCATAGCGACAATTAATCCGGAACGGATTAACGTCGCTATGCGGGGCACCACTGTATATTCATTTTGCATTTATTAATGTATCTTGTGAGGTCCTTTGCTGTTCATCTATATAGTAATAGTCTTCTTGGGATACAGAAGATCTATTAGTCACCTTTTTGTGACATTTGGTCACCCTGGGGCAGGATGAGAACAACACACCTTGTGGTTATTCTTCTCATACTTCTGTTCCCTCATTCACAAAATGTGCTGAATCAATATGTGTAGAGTCAGTGGTTGCCTTGTCCCATTTCTTATTCTATCACCTTCTATACATGGGGGGTGGGCAACAGTTTGAAACAGTGTTTCTCCCATCCATAGAGGTTCTTCATGCAAGTTAGAACCCTGCCAAAGGAAAAATCTCCACAGTTTAGGAGAAGCACCTAAGTGGAGAGAGCACACATTCTATTTCAGACCCATTGCCCACCATGTGTAACAGACATAGAAGAGCACAAAGCAAGCAGATGGGACTATTGTGGCTCCTTCCCTCACACTTGATTTAATATACTTCACGAAAAAAGCTGAATAAAGGCTCTAGAATTTTCCACAGTTCTATGAGTTACCCCACACTTCAGACTAACTTCTCTCTTCCTTTGCCCACTTTTATTCTGATCCTTTTTTTCATGACGGACATACCTCTTTTTCTTAAGGAGCTGTGTTATTCTCGTCTTACAACAGTTCCCTGAAGTCTCAGGGAGGCTAATCCACCAACATTGCATCAGTCAATTAGATGGATGCCTGGTACTCAACCAGGAACTTTTTGCATGAAACACTTTTTAAAGAAACGTTGCACCCAACATAAATAACTCAGTTTTATGATGAGCCAGATAATCTCTTAAACATGTAGGTACATTTTTTCCAGAAAACTACCATAAGCTGTTTGTTACAGAAAAGGACTCAGACTAAGAAGGACTCAGAATGAAATGTCTTGTACCTCTTACTCTCTTCCTTTGTTAGTGGGACATCATAGCCACAGCTGAGTTTTCTACATGTCCTCCTGAGTATTTTAAAATACAGAGTCTCAGAAAAAAGGAAAAGCACGTTATTTACCTGTAAGCTCTGTCACATCACTGGTGGGTATGCAGGTGCCTTGCCCATTGGTGAGAGCACGAAGAGGATTGGCTTCCTCAGGATGAACACGGCAACTGAGACCTCGACTACAGCGTGCTGTGTACACTCCGCACGGCTCCCCTAGCTGAAGGGCACAAATATGGCAGCAGCCACAGCGTGGCTGTCGGGTAGTTTCAGAGCAGCTGGCAGGCACTGGTGGGCACAATGCAAGCTTTTCTGCAGTGCATGGGGCACAGTGTATTGCATAGAGAGCCACGCCAAAGATTAGGCAAGGGCTGAGAAGGAAGAGCAGCAGCCCAAAGGCGAAGCTTTTAGAATGCATGACAAATGAAGACAGCAGACAGCGAGCTGAGTTTGGCAAGGAACACCAATTACTTTGCTTACTACAGCTAATCCTGTCACTATATTCCGGAGTGTGGGACATTTATACAGTTCTTTGTCAGTGTGTTAATCTTTAACCCCGAGTTAACTATTATCTGAGCAGGAGGGAGAGAAAAGCATTGTTTCATTGGTCATTCCTTTCCCTCCCCTTATTTAATTCTCCCCCCCTTCTTTAAAAAAATGATGAAATAATTCATCACTCTTCCACTCATTCCTAAACTTTCCTGAAGAGTTTTTAAAATGTCTACAGAGAAGAAAGGAACTTCTTGAAAGTTTCCAACTCTACACAGTCAATAAAAAAAAAATCTGAGACAGGGAAAGGGAAGAAGAACCCCACTGAAACCTCAGTAGCTGACTTCATATTTGCATGGCAACAGATGCAACAACCTCTTGTTTAATTTTTGTCATGTGGCTGATGCTCATTAGGACAATGACATACCAAGAGAGGCCCCTATAGGGTAATCAAAACTTTGTAGATCCAGTAACTCCTGAACACAGCACGTAGGAGCTAATGTCAACAGTACACTTGCAAGGATTGTTTGGGACAGTTTCCTGTGGATGTGTTTGTGCTAAAACAGAGCTCAAGCACAAGCCCCTGACGTCACTGGAAGAAGAATAACATGCATTAGGTAAAGCTTAGAAAAAAAATATTTGTTAACAACTACTCACTGAATTCTCAGTACATTTCCTGCTTCATCATGAAATATCTTAGCTTTGGGAATGAACAATGATTTGAATCTAGGGCTCTTTATTCAAGCTCAACCTCTACTGCACAAAGCTGCCTCTTTACACCTTCTGTCCTCCTAATGTTTTACGGAATATTTTGCATGAAATATCCTAAACCTTGATGTGCATTAGTAACATTGTCATCATATTAACATCTAGCCAAATGTACATCCTACTGAATTCAGTGATGCTTACTTTTAGAGTTAAGTGCTTATAACATTGCATTCTTAATTTTGTTGCAGATCATATTTTATTTTACTTCCTAGCATTCAAACTGAAGTCACTTCTTTAAATGTAAAGTATATATTTTTTAAATGTACCAAATTGAGAAATCAAAACTTCAGGGAAGAAAAATAAGAAAAGAGCAGAAATACTTCATTCTGAACATAGCATGTAGGGCTGTGTGTTTTAGATACAGATGCACATAGAAAAAGATTGCAGGATATTACATGTTTCAGCAAAGCAGTTAAAATGCAAGCTATGGTGAACATATTGATTATTGATGAAAACCATAGGTCAACAACAACACAAAACATACATGGCACTGACATCACATATTTACACATATATATGAAGTGACATGGCTTCCCTCCTTCTTTAAGACTTTTGATGTTTGGCATGTATCTTCTTTGCTTCCAAAGCACATTTTGCTACTTGCTATGTAGTGGTTGCAACCCTGCCCACAAGCATCATTCAAAGGCAAGCCAGGTGGTGTGGTGTGGTGTGTGAGGGATCTAATATCCAAAGAGCTAAGAATACCAGCAAGGAATTTGCTTTTGGGATGCTCATATAAATAGCAATTTAATAAATAGAAAAGATCTTTAGCCTCTCCTTGATCCACAAATACAAAATCTTAGATGAATTTGAACATTATCATATCCCCCCTCCAAAAATGGCTGATGGCATTCACTGAAAGCACAGAATCTATGAATACTTTTTAAAAAGGGGATGCAAACCAAATGATGTTTTGTATAGTACCGTGTTTCCCCGAAAATAAGACAGGGTCTTATATTAATTTTTCCTCCAAAAAAAATATAGTAGGGCTTATTTTCAGGGGAAGTTTTTTTTTCATGTACAACAATCTACATTTATTCAAATGCAGTCATGTCATCTTCTGGTTGCTGCACAATAGTGAAGGGCAGGGTTTCACTTAACTGGGGCTTATTTTTCGGGTAGGGCTTATATTATGAGCATCCTGAAAAATCATACTAGGGCTTATTTTCAGGTTAGGTCTTATTTTCAAGGAAACGGGAGATACTAACAAAAATAGGACATTTGTGAGACGGTACACAGATCCAGCCACAGAGCAAAGATATTCATTTTTGTGGCTCAGTTTCTCTGGTGTACATGTGCCGTGGGAAGGATATTCATACATATATGCATAGAACCTTCTTCATGACCTTCATGTAACTATCCATTTGTTCACCTCTAGACAATATTTGCTTCCTTGGAGGTACTTCTGATTCTGATACTGTTTGGTCTGTCATTCTTTGGTGGCAAAGAATGAGGCATTTTACTTCTGAAGGTGTAACTTTATTTTTCAAAACCAGTGCCACACTTTGTACATTTAATATGAATTGTTCTTGTATTTAGAAGTTCTCTTTTCAACAATGCTTTTAACACGCAGTTCAAAATGCTTCAGTGAGAACCCTCAAAACCATCAATAACAGGAAAGTTATTTTTCCCTAGAACATAATAGGCAACAATGGAAGCTTAGCCTCAGTAGGACCCAACGAAAACAACAGATCAATTATATCGAATTACATGTAATGATTGTAGAACATAGCCTCTTGTGGAGTGTATGAGTCATATTTTGTGCACTCCGTACTGAATGTGAATGAAATACTACTTCATGGGGAAAAAACAAGGGTTGTAAATCTACGCATGCAGTCCTGCTCCATGATGACTCAGAGAAGCTGAAGTTAAGAACACCAGCTGTTATGAACAGAACATTTAAGATTGTGACCATTTTGACCTAGTGACCCTGATTTTCACTGTTTGTATTTGTTTAAAGGAATGTCAAGGCTGTGGGGTGGGAATGGGGAAACTGTAGAACTACCTCAAAAACAAAAAAGTAAACATTTGTTTTAGCATATTTCCCTGCAATGATGACCTGCATCCTGTAAGCTTTCCTCCAAATTAAAGCAGTCTGATACGTTGAGTTCTCAATGTTGACCTCTTAAAAATTACACTATAAATTTCCAATTTAAAATAAAAAGCTTACAGCCCATTCAGTAATGCCAGACTTTCCCAGAACACTCAGTTTTTAGGTTCACTGCTATGCAGCTTTTTAAGATGGTTTCCTGTTTGGCTTTAGATTTGCATTGATGTTGCTCTCAACTCTGAGCTTGCTAAATCAAAGGGGAGAGGGGAGTGAAGGAAGGGGAATATATTTCCCCTGAAAGATGTACAAAATTGCTACTATGTTTTGCAAACAATGTTCCCTCTAATCTTCTGGAGCATCAGGCAGGGGCCCCACCCCATGTGTGAGGGGTTCCAGCTGCAACTGGAAGAAAATGGGTGGCTAAACTAGCTTGAGCACCTGTGCAGTTCGGAGGGAACAGTGTTTAAAAGTCTTTAGATATGAGCTACATAACTACTAAATTTTAGTGAAGCATTTTTCATTCTTTGCTCTGGCAACATGCCAAGCAGGAGGTGTTTGGAGTAAAATTTGGCAATAAATCACACTAATACTGTATATGGACTTAAAGAATGATGACCTGAAGTTGGATGTGTATAAAGCTTTAAAAGAATTACTGAGGTCTGTTTTTTTTAAACTTGTATTGCCATAAAAATATACAGCGAACAGCAGTCTTCAAATAGATGGGGGATATATACCTCATACAAAACAGATTTAAAAAGCCTCAATGCAAGCAAAATACAGTGGTGCCCCACTTAACAATTACCCCGTTAAACAACGAAATTGCTTCATAAAACGATGATTGAAAGGGTTTTTTTCGTTTCACAATGATAGGTTCCCTGCTTCGAGAACTGATTTTTTGCTTTACGACAATCAGAAAACAGCTGATTGCCGGGTTTCAAAATGGCTCCCCGCTGTGCTTAGGATGGATTCCTCACATTACAGGCACCAGAAAATTACAGGCACCACGGAGGATCTTCTCTGGACATTAAGGTATTTTGCCCATTGGCGGACATTGAGTGGTTTTCAATGCATTTCAATGGGCTTTTTACTTTTTCTTGACGATGATTTTGTTCTACAGCGATTTCGCTGGAACGGATTAACTTCATCAAGCAAGGCACCACTGTATAGCACAGTGGTTGGGGAACAGGGGTAAATTACCCCAACTGGGATAAAAATGAAAATCCTGGGGGTAATGAGGACGGTCACGGCAGCGCGACTGTCCTCATTACCCCATGCATTTTCTTTCCAACAGGCTGTGTGTAGGCGGGGATTCCATCGCGGGGAGAGCAAGCCCCAGTGAAGAACTGTACAAGGCACCCGCCTGCCCTCCTCGCCTCCAAAGTGGGGGGGAGGGTGGCGAACAGGGACAGCTGGACTCTGCCTGGTGGAGCCCTGGCCGGGGCTCCCCTTCCTGCCCATGCCTGCCTGCCCAGTGCGCTGGCAAGGAGGTCCCCTTCCCACCTCACCTCACCTGAGCTCACAGCACCTGCCTCCCCCTGCCAAGGACGCGCTTTCCCAGTGGAGTGGCAGGGCCAGACTGGCTGCTCGGGTGGCCACTGCCGCAGGTCCCAGGCAAGCACAGAGGTGGGGAGGGGGACTTGGCCAGCGTCCGGATGCCAGTTTCCCTGCTTGGGCAGCTCGGCTTGCGAGCAGGTCGCCCGCGCGTGTGAAGTGGCCGGGATAGTCACTCGCTCACTGCACGGAGTCACCCAAAAAGGGAGAGCCCAGTAAGAGATGGAGGAGGAGCCACCACCACTGTCGCCATGGCAGCAGAGGAAGAACCTTTGTCCTCCTCAGCTACCTTTCTCTCGCCCTTGGCTCGGAGAAGCCGGAGCACAGGGGCCTTCACCAGCTGCGCTTTTCTTCCTCTCCTTCTCCCGGTGCAGGGCTGCCGGAGGGCCCACATTGCCGCTGCCACTCCTGCCCGTGAGGCATCTGGGTACATCAAGAAGTTCGCATATTATCTAATTTTTAAAAGCACATGCAAAGGAGTAATGCATGCTTTTTTATAGAGTAGTATCCACTGCAGGACATAATGGGTTTATACACCACAGCAAATGGAGACAGAGCCAGCAAATTACAAGCTAATTCTATACATTTTAACTCACAGGCAAATCACACAGATGAGGATTTATTCTAAAACAAATTGTAATGCAATTGC